TGGATGGATGGGTGGGTGGGTGGATGGATGGATGGGTAGGTGGATAGATGATGATGGATGGGTGGATGGATGGGTGGATGGATGGACAGACGGACAGACAGATGGGCGGGCAGATGGATGGGTGTATGGATGGACAGATGGATGGATGATGGTGGGTGGGTGGGTGGATAGATGGATGGATGGACGGATGGACAGATGGATGGATGGATGGAGAATTAAATAAGTGGTACAAATGGATGGGAGGGTGGACGGTGGATTAGTGGGTTTCACATGTTGTAAACAGATGAGGGTAGATAGGAAAATAAGGAGCTGAATGAACAGGCGGGAAGATGGGTCGCTTAACAGACAAATGTGTGGATGGACAGACAAGTGGGGGGGCGAAGAATGAAAACTCGTTTTCTACAGAACTGGCCTTCCCATTCGCCTTGTTCTGGACCGAGAAGATGACATGCTAATAACTGGGGGAAGGCATCCATTGTTTGGAAAATATAAAGTGAGTACCACCCATGAAATTGTTGACATGTTTCATTTTGTTTGTGTGACTCTCTCCCTTTTCTATCATTTTGATTTTGTGAATTCTAAAAACAATCGGTATCTAAAATAGCAAATGAAGATGGTACGTGTTTTGGATACCCGTGGCACTTTTAATGTATAGGTGTAAAAAAAATGTAGTGATGAAAATAAAATCTTAAATAATGACTAAAAGACCCTGTTTGAGGGACTGGGGCTATGGTTCAGTAGAGAGATCATTCACCATGCAAATCTGAGTACTGGAAACTGGATCCCCAAGACCCACATAAAAGCTTGAGAGAGTGGGGTTGTCCACCTGTAGCAATGCCCAGGTGGTGGAGACAGGGGATCCCTGAGGCAAGTTGGCTAGTTAGCATAGCCAGCTCTGTGAGGTCTAGGTTTGTCAAGAAGCCTGCCTTGGTAAGCAAATTGGAGTGCAATCAAGAAAGATATCTAAACCAAGTGGTACAGGACTAATCCCAGCACTCAGGAGGCAGAGGCACACAGATCTCTGTGAGTTTGACATCAGCCTGGTCTATAGAGCAAGTTCCAGGAAAGGCTCTAAGGCTACACAGAGAAATTCTGTCACAAAAAGCCAAAATAAGAGACCTGACATTATCCTTTGGCTCCACACACATGTGGGCACACATACACATCAAAAAAAAAAAAAAGCACTGTTATACAGAATAAGGATTTATATTTTTTTAGTGATTACTCAAAGACAAAGAAAAAGAGGGATACCCAAACTATAAGAATAACACGTTAGCCGGCAGTGGTGATGTCACACACCTTTTAATCCTAGCACTCAGGAAGCAGAGGCAGGCGGATCTCTGTGAGTTCAAGGCCAGAATGGTCTACAAGAGCTAGTTCCAGGACAGCCAGGACTATTTATTACACAGAGAAACCCTGTGGGAAGGGGGAGAGGGGGGAAATAGCACTTTGTACTAGAAATGTTTCAAAACAATTTGACAATTTTTGTGGCAAAATAACCTTTAACAGAAACCCAGGAACAGGCAAATTTAAATCCTACAAATCACACTCCCTCCCTTTTTCTTCAGTTGCAGTAGAAACACCATTTAAAATGTTGCTAATAGGGCTGGAGAGATGGCTCAGTGGTTAAGAGGATTGCCTGCTCTTCCAAAGGTCCTGAATTCAATTCCCAGCAACCACATAGTGGCTCACAACCATCTGTAATGAGGTCTGGTGCCCTCTTCTGACCTTCAGGCAGACACACAGACAGAACATTGTATACACAATAAATAAATATTTAAAAAAAAATAAAATGGCCAGGCGGTGGTGGCGCACTCCTTTAATGCCAGCACTTGGGAGGCAGAGGCAGGCGGATCTTTGTGAGTTCGAGACCAGCCTGGTCTACAAGAGCTAGTTCCAGGACAGTCTCCAAAACCACAGAGAAACCCTGTCTCGGAAAACCAAAAAATAAAAAATAAAATGTTGCTAATAGATGATACTATTTTTTCAAATTTGTGACTTAGTCCTTAGAACAGTTCTGCTGTGATACAAAGTTGCAAACACGCTTTCTTTAGGACTTGCTTGAGGCATGCACGTCTGAATTCCCACCCGGTTTTACCATTGCCACACCGTTCTGTTACCTAGATTGCTGTTTACAAAGCACCTTGGTCACCCAGGAAGATGAGTTCAGCTCATAAATTCTCCGACCTCTGTGCCCGAAGCTTTCCCGTAACGAGATATTATGATTCACCATCATGCGTTCTGGGATCCCAAAGGCTTTCCCACGAGGAGAAAACCACAGACTAAACTAGAAAGAAAGCTGGTACAAAATGACAGAGAATAAGGACGACAAGAGTGGCAATTACATTCTGGGAGATGAGCAAGAACTTGAGGATAGCATGCTGTGTAGGCAGAGGCTGCTTGTTTGTTTCCCAGCCGCCCAGACCCGAATAATACAGAAACTATATTAATTACAACACTGCTTGACCAATAGCTAAGGCTTCTTATTAACTAACTCTTATATCTTAAATGAACTCATTTCTATTCATCTATGTATTGCCTTGAGACTCGTGGTTTACTGGTAAAGTTCTGGCAGCTTTGGCAGCTACGTGGTGTCTCTCTGACTCCGCCTTCTTTTCTCCTCTATCTCTGCTTGGAATTCCCACCTTGCTCTATTCTGCACTGCCATAGGCCAAAGCAGCTTCTTTATTAACCAATGGTAATAAAACACATTCACAGCATCAAGTATGGAACCAGGGTTGTCCATTGAAAGGAAAGGGCTCACTAAGACATGGGTCAGGAAAGATCTTCCTCAATCAGACAGACAAGTCCATAGCAGGCAGGGTGCCACACCAGAGCAAACTGGGGGCACAATCTGTCCTTGACATCAGGGGACTGTGGGGTGACTTGTACTTGGCGAGTACATTGTAAGTAAATCAGTACAATGTCCATCATTTGGTGACAGGTGGGATTCATGAACAGTGGACGAATCAAAGCCCTAGACATCGAGTGTTACATCAACGGAGGGTGTACCCTAGATGACTCGGAGCTGGTACGTGTACCCGAAACCAACTGTGCTCTTGAGAGTGGGTAAGATGGAAATTGTCTAGATGAATCTTTATGGAAAGGGAGGCGGTGGCCTCTAACATATGTGGGTATCTCCTTTTACTTCAGGTCACGGAATTCCTTGTGCTGAAGCTGGAAAATGCATATAAAATCCGCAACCTCAGACTCCGAGGTCGTGCGTGCATGACCAATTTACCGTCCAACACAGCCTTCCGTGGGTTTGGCTTCCCACAGGGAACCCTGGTCACAGAATCCTGTATCACAGCTGTGGCAGCTAAATGTGGGCTTCCACCGGAAAAGGTAAGATGATAACCGGGGTTATAACCAAGGCTGGTGGTGAGGAATCAGAGGAGACAGGAATTAGCTAGTGGCCCCAGGAAACACTAGAAAACTGTACAAATTAACCCTGGCTCAGAGTTTTTTCGTTTGTCTGTTTTTTGGTTTTTCAAGACAGGGTTTTCCTGTGTGACAGTCCTATCTGTCCTGGAACTCGCTCTTGTAAACCAGGCTGGCCTCGAACTCACAGAGATCCACCTGCCTCTGTCTCCCAGTGCTTGGGATTAAAGGCGTGCGCCACCATCGCCCAGAGTGGCTCGGAGTTTGCGATAAGAGCTTCATTTTTTTCCATGACTGTGATGTGGACATGCCTTCCTTTATTTAGCCGCTCCACCATTGGCGTATATGTTGTTTGTTACTCGGTTTAAGCAGTTTAAATGGTGCTGGGACTGGAGAGAAGGCACAGTAGTTAAGAGACAGCCCCAGAGCCACACATAAAAATGTTTGCGGAAAACGAGCATAGTCTCAGTCCAGTGTTGTTGCTGCCGACAATACGGTAAATTTTTGGCTTCTATTAGAATAAACTGGAGAGAATGAAAAGCTCTCAGGCATTTCCAGCAGGCTCACCACTGGGTGCTGAAAACGCCAAGGATATGAAGCAGATCCTGATCCAACACAAATTTTAAAAGGTTTAGCCATATATTCTAGACGCGAAGACTTGACGACATGCTCTTGGCTGTTATCTGTTCTGCGACTTCTTTCTAGCAGAACGAGCCTCACCTATGAGGGTAGAGCCTGGCTTTAACTCACTCTTTACCAACCCCGTTCCATCCTCTGAACCCTGAAGTTTGAAGAGAAGATGGTGGGCCAGTAAGATGGCTCAGCGGATAAAGACGATGGCTGCCAAGTTTGACAACCTGAGTTTTATCCCTGGGGACAATATGGTAGAAGGAGAGAGCTGACTCTCATGGTTGTCCTCTGACTTTCACATATATGCCATGGCATGTATACATACAGACACACACGGAGGAGGGGGGAGATGCAGGATAGATGATAGATAGATAGATAGATAGATAGATAGATAGATAGATGATAGATAGATAGATTATAGATGGTAAGTAGATAGATGATAGATAGATAAATGATAGGTAGATAGATAAATGATAGGTAGATAGATAGATAGATAGATAGATAGATAGCCCAACCTCCCCAGTCTTTCCATCACCTTGCCTTTTAGACTAGCCACTACCAACTGCACTCCACTTCAGACAGAGAGAGATCCTGGTTGGTACATTAATGTGGAGATGAAAACAGCCCTGTCACTCTCCCAGCTGCCCAGTGGAGAAACATCTGTCCTCCCCACCAAAGCGCATTACTCTTCAGAGGAAAGGCTTTCTAAGCCCCCAGATGGCAATCTGTCTCACCACAGGCACTGATGGAATTTCACGCTTGTTTCAGATTAGGGAGAAAAACATGTACAAAACAATCGATAAAACCATCTACAAACAAGCTTTCAGTCCCGAGCCCCTGATCAGGTGTTGGAATGAGTGTCTGGACAAGTCTTCCTTTCACTCCAGAAGGACACAGGTGGAAGCGTTCAATCGGAAGAACTACTGGAAGAAGAGGGGTATTGCTATTATCCCCATGAAGTTTTCAGTTGGCTTTGCTGCAACAAGCTACCACCAGGTAAAATTCACACATGGCACATGCTAAATGACCCTCACGTCTAACACAGTCTTGGTTTGACTGGTGTGTGCTCATGTTCAGAAAATGCTGCATTCCCCAGAGCAAAGGCTACTTAGTCTACTTAGTAAAAGATTTTGTAGAAGGAAGAAAGGAAGAAAGAGAGAGGGGAGAGGGAGGGAAAAAGAAAGGAAGGAAGGAAGGAAGGAAGGAAGGAAGGAAGGAAGGAAGGAAGGAAGATGGGGGAAGAAGGAGGGAGGGAAGGAGGGAGGGAGGGAGGGAGGGAGAGAGGGAGGGAAGGGAAAAAACCCAGGTTCCTAAGTAGGAAAGTTCTTTGCAGTCAACTTTTGCACAGAGTAGAACTAAGTCCCAAGGTACTGGGAAACATGGCATCTCTGACCTCACTGCTCCAGGAGTAGATTTAGAAATTTTTTTATTTTAAAATTTTAAAAAATATTTTGAATGTTTTGCCTGCATGCATGTCTTTGCGCCATATGCACGCACTGCACATTAAAACCAAATGAGGATGTCGTCTCTCCTAGAACTGAAGTTATAGACAGTTGCAAACTTCCATGTGGGTGCTGGGAATTGAACCTGAGTCCTCTGGAAGAGCAGCAGATGCCCCTAACCACTGAGCCATCTCTCCAGTCCCCTACCTCATCTCTGATACTGAACCTCCCTAATTGCCAGCCAGCAGTGAGCTAGGCCTTCCAAATTGTGTTACAGGCCGCCGCACTGGTCCATATCTACACGGACGGGTCTGTGTTGGTCGCACACGGAGGCAATGAACTGGGACAAGGTATCCACACCAAAATGCTACAGGTAACGTAAATAAAACCCAGCCATTCGTCTCTCCACACACTGTTGACATGACTGGAATCTGGGATATTTTTAAGGCAGACGATGATGGTCCATTCAAATTAAAAGACCTGCACAAGCTGAGAAAGCTTCCTGCATATAAACTACGATGGACAATGCGACAGAAATCCCATCCGTACACAAATACTCCAGGAACTTGGCCGGCTCTGGGAGGTGGAAGGGGTTATTAGTAAACCCACCACTCATGAGCCTGCAGAACGCCAGTGTAGATGGCACACACACACATACACACACACTTACACACATATACATACAATACACATATACATACACACACATATACACCACACATACACACACACATACACACACATATACATACACATATACACACACACATACACACATATACACACATACCTACACACACACACCAACAGAGAATTGGAACAGGCAAAAGATTCAACTATCAACATCCTATAACTTCTCTTTCTTTCTCTCCCTCCCTCACTTTTGCTTTCTCTCTCCCTCTTTCTCTCTCTCTCTTTCCAGTAGTATTGGGACTTGAGTCTAGGGTCCTGTACAAACTGGGCAAGAGATTTAACACTAAGCTATAATAATAAAGAAGCTATAATCCCAACTTCTTTTTCATTAAAAAAAAAAAAAAGATCCATGCCCGGAGTACTTGCACACACCTTTAATCTTAGCACTCTGGACACAGACACAGGCAGATCTGTGTGAGTTCAAGGCCAGCCTGGTCTACAGAGGGAGTTCCAGGACAGCCAGAGCTACACAAAGAAACAAAAAGATGTATGTGCTTATGAGTCCTTCTATATTCACACACACACACACACTCAGACAGAACATGGCGTGTGTGGAGGGCAGAGGACAGTTTGGGGAAGTCAGCTCTCTCCTCCCACCGTGTGGGTGCTGGGTACCAAATTCAGGTTAGCAGGCTTGGTGGCAAGTACGTGTATCTGCTGAGCCATCCAACCAGCCCTGGCTTATTATTTTAAAGTCCTGGGAACACAGAAGAAAAGCATAGTCCTTTGAATTGGATACATTGAACGTCAGAACAATCTTCAGATTGTTACAGTGCATGGCTGTAGCTTTTCACCACCTGGCCCCTTAGCTCCTCTTAACAACAATCAGCCGGCTTAGTCCACGGCACAGAATTGCTGCTGGTGACCCCTAACCTCCAGCCTACTTCCTAAACAATCCCTGTGGAAAGCTGCCTGTCTGCTTTAGAAGCGACTGGCTTTGCATGAGTCTTAGACTTTCTTTCCTGCAGCAGGTGGGGCCCAGAATTCATTGGGCCCGGATCTTGCACGTCGCCCTGTGTGAGCAAGGAGCGGGAGAGGGCTGGGCTTGCCTGCATTGAGAAGGTCCTTTTGGAGCACGAGCAACATGGGGGCCAGCATAGCCGTGGGTAATGGCACAGGCACTTGGGAGAGAGAAGTAAATAAATGTTTGTGAGTTCAAAGCCAGCCTAGTACAAAATGAGTTCTGGGACAACCAGGGCTAC